TTCACTTCATGAAGTGAAGTTTTCTGGGCGTGGGACAGGGTCTTCCAGGCCCTGAGAGGGCAGAGAGTAACAGGTGACCTGACGTTCCCCCAGCTCCGACCCTCGGCCAGGCCCAGGCCCCGAGCAGGCAGGGTGCCGAGCTCCTGCACGGCCGCAGCCCTGAGTGGCCTGGGGTGTGGCCCCGTGCAGCCAGGCCTGCCCCCCTTCCAGGATGGCCTGCCCCGGAGTCCCAGACAGCGAGGGAGGCAGAAACACCCCGATGCCAGGTGCTGCTCAGCACCTTCAGAAGGGGACCACTAGAAAAACAGCCAAGGGACCCTCACCTGCTCTTTCTCAGGTGATGACAGAGGACGCCCTCAGCGTGATGGCCATGGTGCGTGAAGGGCAGGGCTTTCTGCCCCCGGGCAGTGGTGGGGGGCGCAGCAGGGCCTGCTCCCTCCCAGCCTTCCCTTAGGCCCTGGGGGACGCTGCTGGTGTGCCCAGACCCCCTCACCGTCCTGATGCTCCTCGTCTCTGCCTCCTGCCTGGCCCACACCCCCCACTCCCCACCCCCCACCTTGGGCATCCCTGGATTCCCCAGAAGCCCCCCAGGAAAGAAGGGGCAGGACAGGAGCAGAGGAAGCTGCTCCAGCCAGGGCACCCCACGCTTCCCACTTCTCCACAGCCTGGCATAGCTCCTGGGAGGTTGGGAAAGTTTTGATCATGAACACAGCCAAGCAGCTAATTAAAATAATAAATTAGAGCACAACATTGCAGGGTGATGGGAGCGGAGGGGAGCTGTGCAAGGAATGGGGGTGGAGAGAAGCATGTCCTGGGTGGCCACACAGGACAGCCTGTGCTTTCTTAGGTGCTTAATAAACACCTAAGGCAGGCTTTCTCAGCGGCCCGGTGTCTGCACCAGCGCGGCCTGTCCTGAGGTGAGCCCTGGGCCAGATTCTGAACTCGCGAGCCTGCCGTTCCCCGTGTGGAGAATGAGGATCGGCGGGAGGGGGCCAGCAGGGGGATGCAGGACCCCTGAGTAGAGACCACAGACGGTCTCTCCCCAGGGGCTACACCAGCGTTAGGCTTCCTGGCCACTGCAGGGAAGACCCTGCTTTCCTTATGCCCTCGATGCTGGGTTTTCACTGAGTGCGGTGAGGTGATCTATGGGGCCAGCAAGGAAGTTGGGCGAGCTCAGACCGCTGGCCTCGCTGGCTGGGCTCACTCAGTCTGGGCAGTGGGGTGGTGGGGCAGGTGGCAGGACCGGGCCTCACGGTGCTAGAAGGCAGCCACGGCCACACGGGGCTGGGCAGCACCCACAGTGTAGACACTGGCCCCGCTCCATCCTGAGAGGGGGCTGCGGGAG